AAGGCTTGCGTTGTGGAGCAAAAACCTTCACACCCTTGGTATGTTCAAGCAGGGATTCATGCTAATCCCATCTTTCTCACCCTACATGTTCCTGCTCCTGCTCTTCCACCAATCAGGGGGGTTCGCATGTCCGACCCTGGATCAACGTTCAATGCCTTCATCAACGACGCGAGACTATCGACAGTCGTGCTTCAACGCACGAAGTCAAGGCATCCAAACGTGATCACTTGACCATCCTCCGTTTTACCGTTTTTGCCCCCTCAGTGTGGGCGCCGGATTATCCGATTCGATCTCAATGATGGTAACACCGGAGGGATCGCTACGCACCCCGGTCTAAAAGCATTATTCTCAACGCTTCTCCTTCCTGTCCGGATTCTTGCAAAAGGATTGGTCCAAGATCAGGAAGTTCCGGCAAGACTGCGATGTGCTCATAAATAAAGTCTACCCTTTCTGTCGAATGCCCACCAGGAAGTTTTGGCGTTATTCTTGGCATGGGTAACGAACTCCCTGGACTTTGTCTTCAACAAATTGACCGATTTATCGATGAACGTGACATGTTCAGGACTCATCTTTGCAGGTGCCAAAGTGGGCAACATGGTCATGCGAAGATTTTGACCTTCGCCTTGAACAAGAACGCTTGTAGCCGGACGCGTTTCTTTCCGTGTTCTTCCTCTTTGCGTGCCGGAAAGGTTGACTACTCCTTCCATGAGTCTGCTTGGAATAAGGTTCTTGAGACTTTCTCCGAGTAGGTCCAGTAGGTTCTCTCTCTGCGCATGGATGGGTTTTGTGATTGCTCATTTCAGCCCGTGCTGGCTTTCTCGGGGGCCAGTCTTGGGTGATGATGAATGCAGATGCAGTTCACCTTCACGACTATCTACACTTTCCCTCAACTACGGGGAGCTTACCTATGACGCATTGAATTATTAACTTTGATGCCTGTGGTTGCCATTTTCCATCATTCCTTTTTCATTCCTCACTTGTACTCCTCTTTTCGGTGAGAATTTGCCTTTTGCACGTAGCCACCGCACATAGCGTGCCTGGCTGCTGCTGCGCCTTCTCCTGCTCCGGGTGACGTGTCCTAGAAGGACTTTCCACCCCGACCTCGGCCGCTGGGCGGCTGCTGGTGGTCTACTCCACCCGCTCGCACCGCCGCTGAGCGGCTGTTGGTCGTCTCTGCCCTTCTGCGCCGCTGCTGTGCGGCTGCTTTGATCTCCATCTCCTCAAGCTCTGCCGGCAGACTGAGATTTCTCATGGTGTCCGTAGAAACCGGATCCATCACTGTTGTTGGGGCTGAGAAAAGTCTTCCGACTCCTCCCAGTGCGACTTCCTGTCAGAGGCTCCGCCACCCATCTCACCCCCGATGCCCAAATTGCGCCGCTCGGGCTTGATGAGGTTGGCGATGATGGCCGCGCTGTCAACCCGTGCGGTCGGCCATGCGGTAGTGGGTGGACTTCGTCCATAAAGGCATCTGGTGTTGAAGACCAACTGGCACGGCCGTCAAGCAGAACAGGGCCAGGTACCACGTCGCGTTCACAAGGAGACGGATCCGCAAAGGATGGCCCACATCACTTTAATGCTTCGTCACATTGTTGCTCGTGAAAGAACTTCGGGCTGATCGTGGCGAGTCACGCCAACAAGGCGAGGAACTCGGACCAGGTGACCCAGGAGCAAGGTGGTCAATCTAGATCTCTAAACTCCGCCATTCCTGGTGATCGGCAAGCGCGACGGGACATGGCCAAGCGAGCCGCCGCGGTTGACTGGGCCCACGCCTGCATGGATAACGGCGAACGGTGTTTGCAGATCCGGGACCAGATCAAGCCAAGTTCGTTCACGAAAGGGTGATTCTGGTGATCATCACACTCGCCTCTTCGGAGAAAAGGAGGAGCCAGTTGGAAACTCACACGCTTACCCCAACCGAGCTCGCACCGACGCCATGGTCCACAATGGCCCGTCGTCTTGGAACGGTTGACTCCGAAATGATGAGGTCACTCCTCTTGATGACGTGTCTGGCAGCCTGAGTTTGTGAACCGCGGTTCACCGCACGGAGGATGGGACGCTGTGGCGGCAATGCAGAGCATTCTATGACTGCCTTCATGCCGCTCATACCCGGGTCGGCTCGATGCTGTTCCATCAGGTTGTGGGTGAGCTCAACCGGGTTGATGAGGTCTTCCGCTCAATGTGCGGCCCATTCGCTGTCTCCGGTTTTAGGGAAGATAAAGCAGTGATTGTCCGCAGGGATGAGTCTGCATTCACTCGCGTCGCGGGGACAAGATCATGGGAATTCCCTGGCCCGCTACAGCGCGCGCGAGATAAGGGAGGCCAAGGAGAAAGCCGCAAAGGAGGCCGCCGCTGTCTGGCTCTGATGCCGGGGACCGAAGATGTCATGGCCGAATCCCGGGAAGAACCAGTGGCGGAGGAGAAGACGGAACAGGGTGAGACTACGACCGCGCAGAGTGAAGAAGACGAAGATCGTGACTATCGTGTTTTCGTGGACACGGGCGGCAGCGTTCGCACTGGAAACTGGCGCTTGTGGGCTGATGAAGAAGTGGGTTGCCAAGGCAGTCCTGGTTCGTGGGCTCAACTTCAACGGGCGCACCGTCTCTGACTTCTTTGAGGAGTATGAGGCATTCGCGGCTGAGTGGGGAAGACGCCTCACCACCGCAAACTTCAACCCCAACAGGAGCGGCTTTTACACGTCACGTCATATGACATGACTGAGGCTCAGCTCATTGGGCTGAGGTCTGGTCACTTGTCGCCGATTCTTCCCCACAATGTTGTTTTCAAGGCACACGCCTCGCGCAGCATGTCGGGGTACTGCAAGCCATGCGAAGGAAGGGTGGCTTCAACCCCGAGGCCCGACTCAAGGAGGCGATGGGGATAGCCTTGACGATCTCATCTACAGAACGCCCACTGTCGCCTATGACACATGCTTGGCAGACCATCCGCAAACGCAGCACTGCGCCGAATTCGACACAAACAGCGCCATCAACAGGCGGTGCGGTTGACTCCGGGCCCTGTTGTGAAGGACAAGGAGACGCCTGACTATGCTCCCGTTCCTGAGGATGAGGTTGCGGAGGGCACAATTCCTCCCCTCCACCGCCGCCTCCTGCGCCTCCCATTGACGTCAAGCCAGAAACCCCAGTGCTGCCGGCGAAAATGGCGGACTCGAGTGGGTCCTCCTCCTGCTCCGTTGTCGTTACGGCTGAGGAGTTGGCCGAGATCCCAACACGGAGTCCGAGGAGGAAACTGAAGAGCATCCCAAGGCCGTGTGCCTGCGCCCAAGAAGGGTCCAAGGCTCAGCCTGCTACCGGTCCCTCCGAGAAGTAGGAAAGGTAGCGCAAGGAGACCCAAGCAAAGTCGGGCCCTGGCCCGGCAAGAGCGCTCGGGATGATGCTGGCCGTTGAAGGGATGATTGGGCCGGTGGCGCCCGCGGCCAAGATCCCCGTCGTGATGAACCCGCTGACAAATGCGGTGCCGGCCGGGATGACCGCCGCGGACGTGATGCGCCGGCCGGGGACCGCCGCGACATACTCCCCGACGAGCGTGTGATCAACGCAGGGCAAGTGCCCGCAGCAGTCGGACCCCCCTCCTTCCCGCCGTCCTGGCGCAGAGACGACGCGCCCAGAGACCGGCGACAATCTGGGTCCGGGCGGCCAGCGAGCGCGTCATCCGCGCTGTTGTCTTTGCCCCCTCTGTGCGGGGCCGGGTGACCTTCTCCATTGCCCTGTGCCGCTCATCCGGTGTTAACCACGCTCCTCCCGTACCGCTCGCGCAGATGATTCGCCTGGCAAACCTGAGTGAGACCATGACCGCGCTAGAAGTGCTGGGCGGGTCGTAGCCGGGTGTCACACCGATCTCTTTGGTTAATCATGTTCCGTGTATTTCATTGTCTCGTAAATTCCTCCAACCATGCTGTGGTATCTTCCGAGGTGCGGTGATCCGGACAGGATCCCCCTCCGAATGCCATTGTTCTACTACAATGCTTGAACGGCAAGAGAGGAATCTTCGTTTGGTTCCTCCATTATGTCTTTGCACACTCATGTGGCCCATTCGTCAAATAGACCTGCCGCCCCGCTAATTCGGGGTGATGGCGGGATTTTATTTGGGGCTCAGGTGATGCCGTTTGGCTCACCTCTGAGTTGGCACTGGCTTGTTGGTTGGTTCCTTTCGTTGTGAACTCAGCTGTCACACATCCTTCTATGCAGATATCAAATGATCCAGACATTCGGCCATATGGCCGTTTGGCTCAAGTTTTGAGTTCTCCCGGCAAGAATTCTTAAGGGATATTCCCATCGGGCCTCGTCACACAGTGTATCCGGAGGGCTGTCGTGGTGTTCTCGGGCCTGATCTTCAAAGCTGCTTCCTTTTGCAACTTGTTTTCCGTTTAACCTCCAAACAACTTACTTTCTACACCTGTCACGTCCTTCAACCTGGTCAGTGTTGGCGGGTGCTTTGATCACATCGTGCACCACTTTGTGCTCATTTGCTTCCCTGGGCTGCTTGTGTTTGCCCAAAACCTCAATAGCTAAACGTTGGGAATGCCAAGCCCCCGGTAGGACGCAGTTTAGGGCTCAGGTTTTAGGGTATAGATGGTATAGGTTGGTGAGGTGAAGACTGGAGTCACACGGACGGGTTGAAAACCGAATCAAAGAATCGAGGCCCCAAGCCGTCGCCAACTATGTTAGATGTTCAGGTATGCCACACAAATTGTTTTTTTCGAAGTTGACCAAGTGGGAGTCGCAGCGGGCGTAGTTACTTGTAGCGGACGGCGCGGAGATTTATTGAACTGAGTTGTGGGTGGTCCAGTAGCCGATTTCGAGGCAGAGCTGTTCATAACATTTTGCAAACTTCAAGTAAGCGGAAGGGAGCAATGCTTGATGTTAGGACAACTTATTGATGGATGTACATCCGTTGGGTCAGAAGCAAACCGACCTTGCGCCAGAGAATTTTGCAGCCAGCCCATCCCCGTATCGTCTAGATCCCCTAGGCGTGGCGCTGAGGACACAGGTGGAGAAGGCCATGCGGGCAGTGCGCTCCATGGCCGAGGAGCTCGGCTGCGACACCCGGGGCTTGTGGTGAGAGCGAGGAAAAGAAAGGCGAAAAAAAGGCGAAGAAACGAAGAGATATACCGAGGAATGCGTTGTGCTTTTGAACGCGCTGCAACGCACGGCCTTCAAGAGGCCTTCAAGGAGTCTCAAGAGCTTTCGTTTTCTCGTGCGAATGTGACGAGCGTGCGAATGTGACGAGCGCGCGGCTTGTGCCACCGCAGGAGACTAGATCGCAGGAAGCAAGTGACCGTGTCAGGAAACATGAGTCAGGAAACGGACAGAGGCGAGTCCAGAAACAACTAGAGGCAAGTCAAGAAACGAAAGTGATAAAGGTCAAGATCACAACAGGAAACGTGTGTCAGAAAATGCGATTCAGGAATGATGTGGTCAGTGCTTGTGAATGTGCGGTGATGCTGGGGATGCAAGTCTTGCACTGTGTGCTTTGCGCTTTGCCGCGTGCTTCGAGCATTGTTCCTTGATATCGTCACGGCGCGGATCAATGAACAATCTGGCGTGCAAAGCTGTTTGATTCAGGAGAGAGGGGAGACATTGGGCGACATGTGTGATGCTGGGGAAGGTCTTAGGAAGTTTTGAGCTAAAATGCATCAATTTCAGGCAAGAACTCTTGGCGCCGTTCCCCATGCTTGAGACCCTATCGCTGCAGCTGAGCTCCTTTACAGCGCCTCGCTGTCGCTCTCTTCAGCCAGCTCACCCATCAAGTCACCGTTCTCCTCCTCCAAAGAAAGAGATTCTCGAGAAGACGCGCCAGAGATTCGCTTTGTATCAAGACGGATAACCACTAGTTCAACGAGAAGGGTTTTGCTTGCCCATGTCGTCACGACCGGAAGACTATCCCCGGAGTTCGCCGGGAACAGAAAGGATAAATCCAGAACCAGGTCGTTGACACGACAGCTTATGTCCTGTCTGGAAATCAGGATTTTCATTTCCGTGAACTCCGACAAAATCTCCCATGCGTTGCAGGCTTGATGATGACGAAGAAAGATTGGATACAGCAAGCGGCCACATATTAACCACGACTGCAAACGTTCCGGTCCCCAAGATGATCACATATGCCGACCTCGATGCGCACAAAGGGAATGAAAGGTGTGAAGGCCGCAAGTGTTGTGAAGTACGACGTCCCAGAGATCAGCGCCAGACTAGCCAATCTCCTTGAATTGTATCAGGCATTTTGCTATCATGCCCGCAAGGAAGAACAAGAAAGAACCTCGACGAAACTGGACGATTCAGATGCAGCTGACCCTCCGAAAAACCATTTCTTGAACCCAACTCCGGCATCATCTTCAAGATGCAGCCGGACATTGACAAGCCTCCTGGCAACTGGAATGATCCCTCAACGTCTTCATGGTCATGGAACAGCTGTGGCCGTAACTGGGGCGGCTACAATAAACATCAGTATTGGAACCAAGATGAAGAGTCAGCGAGTCATGGCTGTTGTGAAAGAGAAACGGCTTTGCATGGACAAATCCACAAGAAGACAAATCTTCTTTGTTCCCGAGGACTATAACCTCTCGATTGAGAAGGGGTTGTCCACCTACGCGAACACCATAGATTTCAAGTATATGTCCGAGCTGATGAACAAGCTGTCAGACTCAGGATTCAATCCTGACAAGAAGAACCCGCTGGTAGATCCAAGATTCACACCGCCATCACGGCTCACAAATCTTCAGCTTGCCAGCATTGCATCCCTGGCGAGAGGTGCGGACACTGATTCCCTGTTGAACGATGAGAGGGACAAGAGCAATCCAACCGAACGACCGCCGGTATATCCATAGAACCGGAAGAAGGGCGATCCCGGACTTATCTGAAATAACCCTGGACATGTGCTTTGCCTTCAGGAATGCAACGGAATTTTAATTCCGCGGTCGGAGAAGCCTTCAGTCAGGCCGGATATGCAGGCATTGCAATAAAAGATCCCACAGCCAGGGTTGAACTTATCAACCGCTATATAGAAACCAAACCCACAACTTGGACAATGTCTGGAGCGTACCTCTGAGTCTGGTATGGACTTTTGTCAGATTCCGAAGGTTCAAAAGCCCCAATAAACAGAACCACTTCAGGAGTACCCATTTTCGCTAGATCTTCCGAGACGTCATCAACAGCACACCCGGACACGATCCAAGCTGGGATCCTCCTAGCAAGATCCGCGGAGTCACGGACGTGAAAGTATTCGAGGGCGGGAGACCGAGAGCATTCTTCACACGATGCAGGCCTAACTGACGAGACCAGGGGTGAATTCTGCAGAACCCATGTGCGTCGTGCCGGACTGCCGTTCATACCATTACGAATGCAGTGCAACAAAGTCGTGCAAGACTGTCGTTGGAAACATGGTCCGATTCTTTCACCCGGGGCTGAAACACATGGTAGATGTAATCACCGGCGATGCAATTCTGCATGCAAGAGAAACCGGCTCAATGTTGAGATTCGTCCGAAGTAGTCCCACACCTTTTGCAAGGTTCTCCTTTTGTCCTGCCATCTTGAAATCGTCAACATACACCACTAGAACAAGTTGGAGCTTTTCGTGAGTGTATACCAATGGCAACTCCTCACCGACAGGCTTGAAGCCAACGGCGCGCACTGACTCATCACAGCGCTGCTCCCAAAATGTCCCGGCATCAGGGTGCCCACACAATGCTTTCACCAAGCGCACCACGAGTCTTTTGAACTTGTTCCACAGTTCTTTTACTTCATCAGGAACAGCCTCTGGAGGAAGCTCGATCCAGCAGATGGTACCATGTAGCACAGCCTGAATGTAAGCTTGAACAGCATCCACCATTTGCACATTCCATCCGTCGAGGCATCCAAGAAAGTCAGCCCATCTGGAAGCTTCGAAAGTTGCAGGTATTTCTCTTCGGATCGTTCTCAGCCAATTGAGGGTGCTTTTCCACAATAATACTGTGCGCCCTGGCCATATGAACTTCTTCCCCTTTCCGTTTTGCATCGCAAACAACATCATGGTACTTGCGAATCTCGGAGAGGTCGAAAACGCCTTGGTCGATGAGACCTTGCCATTCTATCTTCATGGCTTCCACTGTTGGTGAGCATTTTCTGCCGAGATACCATTGCATTGAGCAAGCGACTTTCTCTCTACGCTCCTCAGCGGAACACATGGCATCCGCGGAAAGTCATCTTTGGGACTTTCGGCCATGGGCGTGGCAGCACAGGGAAATGGATTCTACTTCATCTAACTTGTCAGGATCATCTCCTCCCACCTCAGCTTTCATCTCTTGATTCATCTTCGTACTGTTGACAATGCATCATCATGGTCGTTCTTGGGATGGACGCAAGGCCCTGCCTCGGAATGAACTTCCAGGCATACATGACCACCGTCACATCGTGTGCCTCGTCCATGTCAATGTGACACCGGTTGCACCATGGTCTTGCAGGTGTTTGGAGTCTATCCACAACACTGACACAGTGACTGGGTTGACGATGACCCTCACCAAATCAAGATCCGCTAATTCTTGACCTTGTTGGTACGTCGAATGTGATCACGTCGCCGAACGCCTTGACTTGTCGTTGGAACGCTGCGTGTCCTGATCTGAAATGCCTCATCTTTTGCACATGATTCACAGAATGGGTTCCTGTATCTATGTGTTAGTAGATGCGCCCAGGCTTTGGCGTCATTCTTCAGGATACCGGCCTTTCTCTTGATGGACGCCCCCGCATAGACGTCGACCTCAACACCTGCTTCAAGATTGTCGTCGGATCGGGCACCCGACCACGACCTTCTGCTCCGAGCCTGGCAACTTGGGGATCCAGCTCCCGCGATCTTTAACAGGAAGTTCATCATCGGGTCGTAGGACTGGTATTTCCACAGCTCCCGCCCCTCCGAGCGGGCCAAAGTCAAACGTAGGTGGGGGGGGGTCCATCATCATGGTCTGCTTCAAGCAGATCCTCAACAGCTTCTCCGGCGAGCGCTTGAAGTGCCCCACCTGATCAACAGATAAGACATGTTGTCCTTGACATGCAAGTGGGCGATCTCTTTATCGGGCGTGATCATGAAAGGTAGCTTCCCATCAATCCAATGATCATACACCAACAACCAATGGACAACACCGGTGGCGTCTCCTCCAGGACAAACGGCTGGACTGTCTCCTTCAGCTCTTCTACGTAGCACTTCACCGTATGCGAAGTAGATGTTATACCATTTCGCGTTTGGAAGACAATCTCATCATTTTCTGGGGTAGTGTCGACCCCCAGGAACTTGGCTTTGGCTCTGCCGAGCAAATCATGCCCACATCCCGTGTCCATCAGCCACACCAACAAGGCAAACATGTCGACTGGTCATCCATGCTTCTCCCTCCATTGCACGACGCCCTCGACGACCTTGTCCTCTTCCATGTCGTATCTAAAGGTGAAGGTGCGCTTGTCGTTCATGGGCATCATGTGAGTTCTGTACTTGTCACTGGCAACCTCGCTCATAATCTCAGCTCAGATCAATGCTTTGTGATGACAAGCCAGCAATCGCCGATGGTGGAACGTCGTGAAGGTTTTGGGATCGACGGGTGTTGCTCTACGCTGCGGGTCTGACTTGTATCCGCCACCAGGAGATGGATGCCCACTGCGCATTTTCATTCTTCAGGTACTCCGCCTTGTCGCCATTATCGCACTCAAGGAACATACGTATCTCTCGCAGGCCACGGTTTCTCCTCACCACCGTGAAGATTCGCTGGAGCGGCGGCCTTCAGTTTTCCCCCAAACCGCGGCTGCGGCTACGTCGGGTCAAGCCGCGTTCGCAGAGCCGACCACCTCTTCCTCGTCGGCAAACTGCGGCGCAGCAATGGGCTGCTTGCGGGCGGGAACCCAGAGGAGGAACAGATTGCGCGAGGCCCAGACAGCGAGGACACCGCCACAGACAGCGACGCTGCAAGCTCGGATGATGCGGGCGCATCTGAGGACGAAAGCGGCGGGCTCAAGATCTGATTCTCTCTCCTCAAGTTTGATGGGATCTTCATGCTGCTCTTCGTCTTGATCGACGTCGGACTTTGCCGACCTTTCCTCTTCCGACTTTGGTTCTTCCACTGGTGGT